CAACTACCTGAAATGACAACAGCTCTGAAAGAGACACAGCAACAATCTTCAGAGCAGCAATGCAGAAAGAAAAATGTTCAGAAGAACCATTCTGTAATTTTCTTTAGTTTGTTCTGAAGTTCAAAACCCTGATGATTTAATTCTGAATCTACACTTTACAGAATGCACACAAATCACATTTCAAAATGTTTTCTTATGTACAGATTTAGAGATAACCAAATTGCATACTTAAAAATCATTTAAACTGAAATATGTTATTCACAATTTTGCTGTTAATACTTGATAATTTACACCAGGTTAAAGAAATATGTTGATAGTTACGGCTACTGCTGGAACTAAACTACTCAAATTTGCATCAATATAAGGATTTGAAAAGTTGGATAAACTCTGGCTCATGCAAAGAGCTTCATTACCTGTAGTTTCTGCAGCTAAGTCCGTATGTCTGGAATGACTGCATAAGATTTTTATTTTCCCTGACTCTTAATCTCAATTATCACATTTATTCCAAAGCCTTCACTTTGCTGCTGAGCAAAATGAATGCATCTAGAATGGTTTGGTATGACTGTCCCACTTTACCCTAAAACTAAAACTTTAACTGATGGATGATTTATTTGACATATGTAATATCGTATTTAACAAGTCCAGTATAAAATTACTCTTGCAACAGTATATAGCAATTTTCATCAAATCAACAGAAAAAATGCCCTAGGGTTGAATTGAAGAGAGCTTATCAAAATTCCTGTGTGGAAAAAAAAAAAAAAAGGAATATAAAAGAAAATTTGAACTGTTTTTTTCCCCAAAAAAATCTCCAGCTTATAGTTCAACTCTCTTGAACACATCATCACTATTAGGAAAAAAAAGAGAAATATAACCAAAGGGATGTATCTTACACACAGTGCATGCTATCAGCAATAATATAGACAAATGATACTGTAAAAAAATTACCAATAAAGAAGAAGAAGATTTTATCTTTAAATTTTTCTCGTCACTGCCCATACCTGAAAGCAGTTTATTGAAATTATCTGTTCAAAGATGTCAGAGTTTGAATGTAAATCTAATTTACTTTGAAAAAACATCAGATTCCAAATTATCCAAGGGACACATACAAAAAAGTAAAAAAAATCCATATTGGGCTTCACTGCATATAGTGTTCATGGACTTATTCTGGAACAGTGAACCATGTATGTCCACTTGTAAGACTTACCACAACATAACTGCTTTCTGCAACTTAATTACTTTGAAAGATCTGTTGGGTAGTTTAGTATTTTAGTTAGTTGGAGAACATAAACTTTTTAAGGAGAAAGAGTGGTATTAGTAGGGAAAAACACACATGATCCCTAAAAAGTTAATTTTTTTAAAAAGTGAAAAAAAAGAAAAAAAATATTGAGCAAAAAAATTGTTTCACTAATTCTAAATTACTGTCTTTGCATCCTATTAAACAAGAATTTGTCTCAATTATCCCAACATCTGTTGTCAGTCATTACTGACCTGTCAAAACTGATCCTAGCCTAGAGATGATGGTATGATGGTACCGTGGCTATCTGCACGATGGTAACTGTCACAATATGCATTAGAAGCCAGAGAACAAACTAAGCATTATTCATTATTCATGTTTCAAACAGTCAGGAAGAGAAGCAATATACAATAAATGCATTGTTTTTAGTAAGTATTTCTGTTTGCCTTTTTCAGTAAGCTGCAAACACTTCTGCTGAAGGAAGAGAGAATTGCTGCTTCTCTTCTAAAACAGCATTTCCAAAGAAGTAACAAAAGAAAAATGTCAGAGCAGAAGCTATGTAAGAAAGAAGAAGAAGCTTCAAGAATGAAGGAAGAGCACTAAACAGACAAATTTACTGGAATGCAGCAGAGAAATCTGAAATGCTGGTGGTCAGGCCTTTCTCATTACAGAAAAGGAACAGGATGCACAAGAATCAACTCAATTATTAAAAAGCAGGATGCAGACTATCTGCAGAAAAATATTTGATTCTATTAATCCAAATTACACCCTTATTTTTCAAAAATGAGTACTAGGAGACCACAAATAATGCTTTTGGAAGGATTTTATATTTCCTATACTTATTCAAGCTCAGTGGTTAAGTGAGTTCAGTAATCCTTGGCAAGGTCAGAAACACATAATAATAATAATGTACCATATTTGATAGTTTTTAAAGAAATATATTATGCAAGAGTCTCTAAAACATGTATGCATCTTGCATTAAACAGAAGAACCTGCAAAAAGCTTCTGCATAGTTACTGTTCTGTCAGTTCCTTTAAACAAACATTAAAAAACTTTTAAAAATACTTTTCTTATGGCAAAAAAAACTATATTAATATCTCAGTAGATGTGGTGAAGCATTGCCATCTACACTACTGAGAACAGCTCACCCAATGAAAAACACTGTAGACTAGCAGTTTGCTGTTCCCCAATAAAAAGTAACAAAGAAGTACTTTCTATCCTCAGATAAAATGTGCTTTGCTACTTCTTAGTGTACACTGAACCTACAAATACCAAATAAAAGACATCTAAAAAAATAGTTACAATTCTTGAGATTTTTAACTTCTTGTATTTTCAAGCATCACATCATATTACTAACATCAAAAGGTAAAAGCAGCAAACATAATTTTGCCACCTTTCAATTTTGCTTATTTTTCTCAGTCACACGTAAATTTAGTCTCTGGATTATGATTAAGAATCAAACCGAGTTTTCACACATGCTTGTTGACACAGTACCTTTATCAGCCCATGCCAACACATTTCAGACTGTGGGGTCTTTCAAAATGATGGAGTGGAACAAAGGTATCTCAATCCCTGCCTCTCTCAGCTGTGAAGGTTGTCCCTAAAACAAAAAGTACTAAGGACTACCACTTCAGTAGCATTAAGCTGGCTTGCTACTTGGATCCTGCTCACAGTGATCTGACATTGAGACTGGAAGAGCGTGAGTTCCTTACCCACTTGGATCTACTCTAGAAAGTGTACAATGTAGTGTCAATGTTTAGATACACCTTCTCTTCTGCAGTGCTTTGATGTTAGCAACAGGAGAATAAGGGCAAAAAAAGGAAAGCATAACCTTTACAGGATGACAGAGAAAAAAAATGATAATTTTTTTTGTTCCCTTTGTCTCATCTTCTGTCTTCTCCCCATTAAAATGAAGCAATGTGGTCCTGCTACTCTTTGTGAAGGATTTCAAGAAAAGCACTAGGTTAAAGTAGGGTTTGGGACAGTTCTAGAAAAAGCAAGACAAAAAAGGAGCACAAGTATCTGCAAGAGCAGAGGGCAGCGTAACTTCAGCACAGCAGGAACTATTCTTCAGGTGAGGAGAGACAATCATGGATGAAGACAGGTCTTTCTGTGTGTCTGCATACAGAAGGCTCATGGATGCTATCCTATCTCACCCTGACATAAAATAACTATGTCTGTGGAGATTCAGTGTACATCCCAAATAATGTGTGTAAGATGAAAAAGTGACTATATCGTGACCTTCAAAGAAATGGCAATACTAAGTGGGGTCACATAAACATATAGATGGCACGCAATTTGATACTATAAAATGCATAGAATTATTTAAGCAACTTAAAAGCTAGCGTATATTTAATACTTGAGAATCATAATCTCATTCTGAGAGAAACTGTCAGAAAAAGCTGATCTCTGTGTTTCTTACAACTTTTTAAATAGGTGGAATACTACAACTGCAAAACGGTCCAACATATGGGCCTACTTCCCAATTAATTATTTGCTGGCTAAAGTGTTAAAATGTCCTTGGCTTCACCTTAGATACAATGATCCCAGCTGGTCATTATCTAACTGGAAAGGGGCCAAAGAATCTCAGCTGTCAGTACACAACAAACATGTATATTTTGTCCTTTTTTTCCTCCATGTATTTCACTTTCACATAGCTCCACTTAAAAGAAGGAAATCTTATTATGCATAAAACTTAAAAATTTTTGTATCTCTTTTACTGCTGTGACTCTGTTTACCTGGAGTGCAGGTGGGTAAGTGGGGTGATAAAGAGCTCCTCTGTATGCGTTACTGAGAACTGATACGGCCAGCCTTACTAAAGCTGATTATATTACTCTGTGTTTCTACTTAATTTAACAGACCTGTGAAAAAACACGGAAGTCTTCTAAATACAGAGCTGAAAAAAAGTTATTGATTGGTCATGTGTCTGCATAGAGTCAGGAACTAGCAGGAAAGTAGGAAAATATCCCTCAAAGAAGTCAATGTTAGCAGTCAGCCAGCCAGCTTGCAGTAAACCTGCAGACCAACAGGTGGAAAGCAAATGGCTTTTCTCATTTTCACATTACTTCTGCAAGAAGCCAAAGGACAGCTGGGAGAAGGAACAGATGTAAACAAGGCAGACCTAATGATTTCCCAATTAAAAAGAAGATATTATCTTCCCATTAATAGATAACCTAATTGACCAAACTCCAGTAGCTTCCCCTCAGTACAAGTAAACATAGGTGCCTTTCCTCACTGAATTGTCACATGTTTAGGCCAGCCACTAAGTTGTCAGTTCTGCTTGATTTGTTTGGATACTGTACTCTGCAACAGCTGTCGGAAATAATACATTAGAACAGCTGTTGCAGCACTTACAAAGGGACAGGAATTTTAATTGGACTGCATATTAATTGGGAGGAGGATGTATTTTTTTTTTGTTTTATCAAAGTTAAGACAGAAATATTCAAAGAATGACAGACATCTTTAAGGTATTTGACCAATGTCTGGCAAACGAGGTTGGTCTTTGACTGTGGAACTTTGTGACAGTGGTCTGCACCATCTTAGCATGAACCATCCCATGCTTAAGAAAAGAGGCATTAAGAAGAAGGATAGTAAGGAAGTTGCATAAACAATCCTTTTCAAATACTGGTTGTGATCTATAGAAGACCTTGAAGTGTTTGAGGAAGCACTCAAAAGAAACTCATTACAAGACTCTTAGTAACCACCAGCTGAAAACAAAACTATTCACAATGGCCAAGGCCTAAGCATAAATGAATAATAAGCTTACTTTCAGCATCAGCATAGAGCAGCAAGCACAGGAGCACCACCACTGGCCTGACTACGTGCATCATCTGACAGCTTGGCACCAGCATGCTTTCGCAGCCTTGTTCTCACTGGCTTAGAAGCCACTGCGAGTCTGTCCAGTCTGAAATTTCAGATGAAGTATTTTCAGAGCCTGTGAAAAGATAAGAATATAATTAGCAAAAATAGCCCGGAGCCTTTCTATTTTTTTACATATTCACAGTTTAAGGAAAAACAATTTTTAAAGACAAAAGAGTAAGGCAGAAAGAAACAAAATTAATTTCAGGCTACTGGTATATACAAGATGATCCAAGACACAGTATATGTAAGCGTTTTTACAACATATTTCTTAGTTTATCTTTACCACATAATCAATCGTCACATCCTGAATACTCAGTTAGAAAAACAGTATGTTCTGAATCAAAGAAACTAGTATAGCTGATGAGGTTTAAGACATCACTGGAACTGATGTTGCAAGAAGGTAATCAAAGCAGCTTAGACATCCATTGCAAATCCACATGCAAGCAGGGAGTTGATACCCCAGATACCCTGACATCTGTTAAGAATAACACTGGAAAATCTACATCAGAACATATTATTAACATATTGCATAGTTCAGCAACATTCTAAGGTTAAAATTCCTGTCACGACTTCCTGCACATATCTGAATTATGCGTAATAGAAAAACAGAAATCTGGCATTGTATAAAGGGTTGAGATCTAAATTCAATCCGTCTCGTTTATTACAATGCATAATTGAATATGATACACTGGTAGAACTACAGCTCAAGTACCTGACTTGAAAAAACAGTGTCTTATCCTTGTCCAAATATGCCACACTAACACAAATTAAGGAATAGAAAAATATTTTCCTCCTCAGACAGGAAATACTAGAGATATCCCTAAGCAGCCTGACACTGGTACCAAAACAATGTGAAATGCAACTACACTTTCAGAAGGATCTGCAACATATAAGCTTTGTCAAGTTTGATTCTACCTTCTTCATTACCACACATGTGGCTTCCTTGCAGTAAAGATGAAAACCAAGAGGGCAGAGAAAAGAGTGTACTAATTATTATTCCACTAAATAGATCTTACAGTTTTGTGGGTGGCATAAAGAGTCCGTTTTTAGTACAGGGAAATGTTCAAAAGAATTTACTCAAGGAAGAAAAGACATGAGCAGCTGGTAGAAATCTATGCTATGTTATGAATCTCTTTTGTAAAAGTATCTTTTGAATCAGCTACTGCTATCAAAAATTCAAACCTAAGAAATCTTCATAGGCAAAATGCTAAAGGCACCAGCTCTCCCCTTTCATCGCTACCATCTTCATGCCAGCATTTCTAATGACAGCAAAGTCCATGAGACACCAGTCCTGTCGGACTCAATTTGTGTCTGTGTAAGCGTATCAGAGCCAACTGCTGTGTAATGATTCCAATAGTATCACGAAGATGGTGATATATGAAATGTACTTTCAAGGAAGAGGTGATTTTTTTATTTTGCTTCTTCTGGAATGCAGGAGTTACAGGGGAACCCTGAACAATGTGTAAAGGCAGCTCCCTTAAGAACAAAACTATCTTTTCATTAGTACACAACCACACTAGCTGATGTGTGAAGGTGAACAGAGAAATGTGGTAGGTACTAAGTACTCCCTTACTCCTTTCAGGGGCAGAAGCAGAGAGGAAACAATACTGATAGTAAGGGCAGCAGAGAAGAGGAAAAAATGGTGACCACAAAGGTACTTGTTTTACACAATACAGTTCTTTAATGAGGCACCAGGGCATATTTTTTTCATACATTTCAAGCACTCCCATCGAAATATTAAACGTGGTGGCTAAGAGGAAAAATATTACTGTCTGTCTGGGGAAAAGATGAATTTAAAAAACTTTATGATCCTGATATGTGAATATGCACTTATCCTCTACAAGCTGTCTGCAAATGAAGGGATGTACCAAAAAACCTGGCAAAGAAAAGGCTGAAAGGAAAAAAGAGCTTGTTCCTTTTCTTTTCTTTTTCATTTTTTCTGTTCTCTCATTCTAAATGCACGTACAACCACTTGCGAATACTGCACTCATTGTGTCTGCTTTGAAGGTAATATTCATTATCACTCAGGCCATAAAATGAAAGCCCTCAGTACTCCCTTTCTTTCATGTTTCTCAGAGTCATGGCTTTAGCTAACCTGATAAATACACTACGGTTTCCAGAAGACCATTTGCTTGCTGCTTGTTCTCCCTCTTTACCTGCAAACTTCGAGTATTTCAGCTCAAGGAAACATAAGCACAAGAACTAGGTGGTGTTTGAGTAGTTTTTTCAAGGTGAAGATACACTGTTAATGGAGGCATGCAGGTGATGGGATGGTAACATAGAGGGATGCAAGCCAAGAGACATTCTGGTGCTATCAAGGTTCTCCACAAAAGTCTGTATTAGCTTCACCCACAAGGAAAACAAATCTTCAGACCCTGCTACTGACAACTGTACCAACATTGATATTATATCACATGGTATGTAGGTTTGTACTTAGCTTCTTTGTGAAAACTCACATGAAGATGCAATTCCTTAAAAGAGCTAAATGAAATTATCAAGACAACTATCAGCTTCCACATCAAGATGCCTTAGTAGTTCCAAAGAGAAAGACTCCTCTAAAGCATTATTAAGTCTTAAATGACGTTGTTTCTTTCCTTTTCTATTTCTTCCTGGTGATGGTTCATTACCTGAGTGTGGTACCAAAGGCAGTGTAAACACAAACAGCATTTGCAGCACCAGGTTACACTAGCCTTGTCATTACAGGTCCAATACTCGCCTTTCAGAATTAATCCAGGGTGACAAACTCTTATCAGCAGCCCTTATTACAATATTCACACTGCACCAGGGCAGAAAGATGAGGTTTGTCCTTGGCAGACAATCACAATAACTACAGAAAGGTCAAAAGTTCTTTGGAAAAAAAAATTCTCTTGATGATGCTTTAATAAAAGCTATTATTATTTTAGGTTAAGTGCTGTATAGCTGCTATATTAAATAATCAAAAATTACTCTTCCAATATCTCTAAAAGAGCTATCTATGAAACGAGGTAATATATCTAACAATAACACACAAGTTAAGAGGATAGATTTTCCCTGTTTAGTGACATCTATTAACAGGATGAGTAAAAGTGCAGATGTGCAGCTCTCCAGAGTGTTCAATGCAGAAACAAAAAAGAAATCTCCTCAGCAGGAGCACAGCAGCTGATAGTACCAGGGCATGGGCACGTGCACCAATTATCCTCAAAAGGATCAACTGGGTGAATGAAACATCTGAACACCAGAATGCTTCCCTGCAGTCTGTTTATTTTAGTAGCAAAAATCATCTTTTAGGTGCTATCATGGTACTCACAAGATGGCTCCTGCTCCAAGACAGTTATAGGAAATGCATACCTGGGGGCAAACTTTAGAAATTAAAAAAAAAATAAATGAAAGAAAAAGAAAAGTAAACACTGATTCTTTTTTATCAGCTCGTTTTTCCATGCCTGAATGTGTGAATGTGCATTTAAATGCTTGCTAATACAGAAATTCAGCCCAGCAGGGAAAAGTTGTCAGAAAAGAATTGAACACGGACAAAAAAAAACTTGTAACAGAGGCAGGGAGCCACATTGACAAAAATAGCAAAGCAAAAACATAAAAAATTTTGGAAGAAAGGGAATAATATGAAGGTATGAGAGTTCATTTGTGCTGCAAACAGGATTTTTGGTTCAACTTTTCCAAAGTTTTAAATTGTTTAGAGATAAGATTTTAGTTCATGGTCATCTCTGGTTTGTCTCAAGGACTTCAGACAGAAACCCCCCATATTTCCCCATAGGAAAGTAACTAGATATACCTTATATTAAACAAACAATCAATGGTGTTTCTCTAAGAATACATAGAAACAAAGATTCAAACAAAAGACTGTGCTGAAATTCTGTTTCTACGCTTCATCCATCACACCTGAATTACAATCCTGAATTACACCCATTTCCAAACCTCAGATTTCTAATACCATGGAAATGCAAGAAAATAAATCCAAAAAAAAATAATTTAAAATATTACTAGAATTAGTGATGGAGAAGGTGCAAAAAGGAAGTCTGCAAAAAAGAAGGTGCAAGGAAAAGTCTTGGCTGCAAAAACCTAACTGACAGCTGAATCATTACTAGCAAGAATAGAAAATAATGCATAAAATTAATTCTCATAAGCTCTTTAATCAAAATCAATTCAGAAATACCTCTGGGTAAAGCAATGTCTTTTAAAGAGAATTAAATGTATTTTCCAAAGCAATGAGGGCAACTGGCAGAAGCAGAAGTTACACATTTTGCTTGATCTTTTATTGATTAAACATGATAAATGTTTCATAGCTGACCTGCTGGAAAAGTTCCATGTTTCATTATGCTTTTATTCTCAAAAAATCCAAAATACAAACACATGATTAAGGAAATTTGAAGGGCAGCTGTGCTGAGTGTTCAAAACTTCAGTCTTATCAGTCTCTGGGTAACAATACACCCTAATGTTTGTCTATCATTGCTGAATTTCTCTGTTACAGTTATTCCAAAGTGAGTAAGCACCCATCCTAAAGCAGCAGGTTTCTGATGTCATGCAAGCATTTGAACTACATCACTGTAAAAGCACAAATGAGTTGCACTGCTAGGTGGAATTCTGCCTATATGAAACAATTTAATATATCAATCTGACTTTACATTGTAATTCTATTTTAGACTTCAACAAAGATTCCTCTGTTACCATGAAAAACAGAGCATATTTTTTGGTAACTGAAGAAATAGATTAAATTGTTTAGTGAATAAATCAACTCAATGACAGCAAAGTACCTTGAAATCACATCAATGGGATGGTTTTCTCATACAGAAAATTGTTTAAATGTTTCTGGTTTTTTGCTTACAAAAAGATTTATGTTCATATGGAATCTTAAACCACACAGAGAAAATTTTGCCTAGCCCAATGTTGATACAGTTTCAGTTCCATTCTAAATCATGAATTAAAATACCAATTTTAAGTTGACAGGTGTCTCAATGCTTACAACTTCCTGACATCTTAATCACTTCTGAAGATCATAAGAACTTTTCTTATACATGATGCATAAACATTTCATTAGACTACTGCCTAACTTCTTAACTTTGCGCCTCCAAATAACGGTTCA